GTCTTTTGTTTTATGAAACAGGTCAAGTTGGTTTTTGACTTTTTGCCACTGTACCCTGAGTCTTGTTGGATGTACTGTTTTATCGTGTCTGTTACCTCTTCCCCAGCTATGCGGACCCCCTCTATTGCATGGATACAGCGTTTTCTCCAGAGGGCCCACATGACTGCTCTCCTCCCTAACTTAAACATATTGTTTTCAAAAGTATTGTCGGTGGGGGAGGACCATGCCTCGCATAATATGGCTCTCCAGTCCCATGGCCAGTTAGAGCCAGTGGCCAACAGTGTCCAGATTCTATCCCACCATCGCCATGCAAGCACGGCCCCCGGACACTGCATGAATATATGCTCTATGGTTTCCGGGATTCTGCAGGAGGGGAAGGCGGTGTGGCACGACTTACACCACGGCAACGCTTGTCCCTTCTGCTCTAGATATGTCCGATCTATCAGCCAGTCATTGATGGGCAGGCTCCCACCCCACCAGCTGGCAATCGTCGACATGCAATGGTACGGTGCAGAGTGAGAAAGGCCTCAGGCAACAACACATGAAAGGTATTGGTGGAAGTAACCGCTAGGGAAACATGTGAGATCTGGCGGTCTGATGCAGACTGAAGAGGCGGTGGTATGAAGAGCCCTCAAGGGCAATCAATGTTGGCAGGCTATCGGCTGTACAACGGGTTTTGTTTTTCAAAAAAGGGTTTTACGAGGATAGACATAGACAGGGGGGCTGCTCAATAGGGCTGGGCTAATAGATAAAAGGGCTCCAAAAATGGAAGGGTGACACTAGCAGCTCCATGGGTCAAAGGAGTCTCGAGATGAGACAATAAGGACCACAGCCTTAGGAAATACCAAACAGCAATCCAGTGTCACAAGATGTATTAATGGGACACTGGACCCGGTTTCCAGCAGGTGTCGATCCCCACCAATAGATGGAGCAGTTCCAAAGATAAGCCCTCAATTCTGACGGTTCTCCTAACACCGCCAAGATAGAGGGATATCACAAGGGCTATTCTTGCAAAAAAAAAAAAAGAAAAAAAAAGACTAATGTGAGCAGATGCATGCAGAATGGAAATGGTAGTGATGTGCAGTAGAGTTCACAATTGGAATCCCCTTCCCCTGAATCCAATGTACCTGTGAGCATCATCAAGCTGCGGTGTCTAAGGTGTGCAATCACGACCCACCCCTGTGCCCAAGGTGTACGCTTATGACCAGCCTGCCCTTTGTTTACCCTCGCGTGCAACGAGCCTTACGTCCGACTGATCTGGCTGATCAAGAGGCAATTTAAGGACAACCCCCGAGAGTCCTCAGGAATTATTTAACGTCGCAATCAGGACGACGATCACAGTCAGTGGACAGATCAGACCCCAACCAGAAATGTTTATAGACGGTCTGGGAGTGTCTGCATTAGGACTGGTCAGCCCGCATACCCCTTCTATCAGCGCAGCAAAAAGCCTCAATGGACAAAGCAGCAAAGCCTGCGTGTACTACTCCCATGGGTTGGCATGGTGACCGTGACCCGTGCTTCATCCAGGGCCCTTCAAAGGCACCGCCCTCTCCTGCCAGATGCGCCATGCGCCACCAGGAAGAATGTTGTCTCTCAAGGTAGAGCGCATACGACTCCTCACCAAAGAGAGGACACTCAAGTTGGACTCATTTCCTCACGGTAAGAAGAGATTGAGAGGGTAGATAAGGAATGGGAACAACGTACCTGGAGATAGCTGCCCCCAACCACGGATTTCTCACCAATTGGGCCGACGTGCATTTCGATGACCGGTCAATAGCCTCGGTACCACGCACAACGCAATGCAGTGCCACCTCAGCCAAAATGCCACGTCAGCATACTCTCATCATCATGTATACACCCGCTGTCGCTACAGCTTCCACGCTGTCGCCACAGCCTTCCAGCGGCCGGCCTCTCCACCTAGGCTCTGCGAATACATACCAGCGTCGAAGTATCCTTACTGCACATGAAGCATCGTCAGTGCACCAAGTAACAATGTCGCCGGTGCCAGGTAAGCGGCGATCACGACCAGCTCTGATACCAAATTGCAAGGAATATGAGTGTGAACGATATACAGAAAACGAAGTTGCGAAATCACACAGATGTCCAGGTAGTCGATGTCCAAGTAGAGAGTACAAAATGCACCGAGAAACCATCCATATAGAGCAATACAATGAAGTAGTGAGCCAATGTTCAAGCCCGTAGGCCACACCAACACTGTATCCAAAGTCGCTCCCCTCTGTCTGGCGCCCAGCACCCAACCTACTCTACCCGACTATCCTACCTACAGCTGGTTCACGCAACAGGCTCACTTCGACTCTCGAAGACCAATGTACATGACTGTCAACACCATAGCCAACCTCTCTTCATGCACCAGGTACGTATCTCGTCACGCTCAATCAGACCTTGATTACCCACACTCGCCTCCTTCCCTGAAGACCACCTAATCGCCCTCCTACCCTGGGCTATGGCTGTCTGCGCCCCGCTGCCCAGCAGCGCCCCACCTCACCACTACGCGCCCCGTCAGCGCCTTTGGCAGCAGCGCAGCATCAAGCGATAGCGCAGCAGCACTTCCGCATTGCCTGCATTGGCCAGAATGCCTGGCCTGGGCTGCCTCACTTCTTTTATGGAAGTGGCAGCCTCCAGGATGCTGCGTGTGGCCTGGCTGGAAGCTTCCAGTAGCTTCCGGTTGGGCCTCAGACCCTGCGCCCGGCCTGGGCCCTTTTCAGTTGGGCACGGCCTGAGTCTCCGGACTTGGGCTGTTTGCTGCATCTGTGCAGGGCTCCCAGGTAGGTGCGTTGGCAGTACTGCTTTTCCAAAGGCCGATGGCCTGCTTCCCAATGTATCCGCCCTGCTTTGTGTGTATGTGCCCAGGCGCAACTGTCAAGGCCTGGGCCAACTGCACGACGCAGCTTAGTAAGGCTCACGCGTCTACCCAACCAACTGGCGTGCTGCAAGAGCCTGAATACCCACATATGGAATGTCGAAATTTGGCCTTTGCTGAATATTCAGGCCCGCCTTCACTTAGGGCGGGCACTCGGCTTGCTGGGCTGTTAGCCCAGAACATGTGATGTCTGATAGGGCCCTTTGAGGGCTCGTTCCTCACATTAGAGTTAATTAGGGTGTGACGTTGCAGGCTGACGGGTGCTCAGCCGCGGTGGGGTTAATCCAGGCCGGAGAGCCTGGTTCATCCCTGTGGGCCGTGGTTATTGATGTGAGGGACGCTGGGCCCGTTTCCCAGCCTGTGATGATATGATATACTCCTTTTTTTGTGAAAAAATAAAAATAAAAATAAATCCTCACCAGAAAAAAAAAAAAAAAAATTGGCCTGGCGGGGCAAGTTGCCCTGGGCCACTCTGGTAGCCTAGTTAATTACTAATTTAGTAATTTGTAAGGACCTGCCAAACACGGACTGAGACACACAGCTGATTTCTGAGTTTTGCCAATGGAATGAATGCCTTGCTGAGATTCCCGCTTGCTGCCGAGTTTTCTAAGTCTGTGTGTGTGCGTGCTTGCTGGTCTGCGTGCCTGTCTGAATGCTTGTTGGCTTGAGTGTGTGTGTGACCCACAAGGGCACTTGTTCGTTCGGGCGGCCCGAAGGGCCGGTACATACCTGTGGCCGTGACTTTGAGGGTTGCAGCAGAGAAAGCACTCAAGCGGCGGAAGTAGGCCCTGGGGCTCTTAGAGCCGTGGGGCAAAACACTCAAGCAGCAGGTAGGCAGGTATCACACCAAGCAGCGGTAGATGTGTCGGGTACTCGAGGCCGGGCAGAAGATGACAAAAGTTGGCATTTTTAGAGGCCCAGTAGTTGTAGGCTAGGACTAGGCGGGTACCAGTCAAGTCGTCTCAGTCTAGGGCCTGTACGAGCAATATCAGAGTCTGCAATGATATTTCCCTCCGAAAGGAAGGAGGTACCAGTTGCTTGGAGGCTGCGCGGCCTAGGAAGTCACTCACCCAAGAGGCAAGTAGGCCGCTATATTTCCAGGAGGAACATAGTGCTCCTCATCATTTGCTGCGTGCAAGTTTGAAGTCACGGTGCACGAGCGCTGCTGAGTCCAGCACTGGGGAAGAGGAAGAGCGCCCAGCTCTCCACCTTGGCTATGGTGCAGGAACTCGGGCTCGAGGATGAGGAAGAAGAGGACAAGGAAGGGGGAGCGCCAGGGGTACTTACCTGGCTATGGTGGATGCCATCTTCATCACCTTGGTGGGCGCTGCATCTGGAAGACCCCCGTTGGGGTAGAGCTACACCAAGAAGCTTCGAGGCAGAGTCAGGCATGACGGCCTGAGTGGGAGCAGCCATAGCTGCTTTGAGTTGTATTTTGCACGTCAGGGCAACGCCCTAGTAGTCGCCATAGCCTCAGCCTTCGTGAAGAGGAAGGAGGAGGGCGGCCATGGCTATGGTGGACCTCATGTGGTGCCTGCAGTAGGAGAGGGATTCGGACATTGATTCTGGTTCGGCCATTCATTATTATTATTATTATTATTATTATTATTATTATTATTATTATTATTATTATTATTATTAATTCAATTTTATTCTTTGAATAAGAGGAGAGGAGAAAAGGAGGAGTTTGGTTGGCGAAGAAGGGGGGATTATCATTGGTTTTTGCTGATGTACATCTTCTTCTTCTTCTTCTTCTTCTTTTTCTTCTCCTTTCCCTCTCTCTCCTCTCAAATTCATTCATTTCTTTTTGCAATTGGACGGCATTGTGCTTTCTCGTGAATTTTTGTGCACTTCGAAATTGGCCAGGATCGTAACAAATTACTAATTAGCAAATTAAGTAATTAATATTTTTTGCTAACAAGCGGAAAATAGCAAACATGGGTAAAACTGTAATGAAAGAGTAACTGACAGGACTGGCGTGGTTTCGACAACTTTCGAGAAGTTTAGAGTCTTTAGACTCTAGATTAAGATTTTATTATTATTATTATTAATTTATTATTATTATTATTATTATTATTATTATTATTATTATTATTATGTTTTTTAAGATTAATTTTACCTGTCCTTGTCGGTACTCTTCCAAGTCTGAAACACTGTCGTCAGGAAAGCGCCCAACTACTGCAACCGCATCGATGTCATCTCCCTCCAAAAGTTTTCTCACTGCCCTCATCAACGAGTCAGGTCGGCCTAGTCTCCCGGTGGAAGCCCCTGTTCTTGGATCTATCCATTTCTCCACCTGCATAACGAAATTGTCAAAAATTAAAATATTAATTAATCATTCAAATGATCAAATCAATATCTT